TTCCTTCCTTCCTTCTTCCTTCTTTCCTTCCTTCCTTCTTCCTTCTTTCCTTCCTTCCTATCCCTCCCCCCACACACATACATAAGAGTTAGGGTGCATCTGTGTGTGTGTGTGTGCGCGCGCGCGCACGCATGTATACTCATGCCTTTCCCCTAAGTGGAATTCTTCTCTACTCCTCCACGTATCCCTACCCGCCAGAAACAATCAAAATTAAGGCGGATGAAAAAGGTTAATGGACACTGAGGAGGGCACTTGTGGGGATGAGCACTGGGTGTTGTATGGAAACCAATCTGACAAATTATATCAAAAAAAAAAGGCAGACACTCCTGTGGGTGGGAGGGGTGGACCCTACTGGGCAACTCCTGGGCCAGTGGAAAACACACCTCACAATTTCCTGCCTGAGGACTGCTGGCCGGAGAAGTTAGTTCTCTGGTACCGTGGCCTCCCTCTCTGTGGCAAGCCAGCATGCCTACCCCCAGAGGTGCCCTCAAGCAAGGGGATGCAGATGTTGGCCACCAGAAATCGGGGGAGATGGATGCTCCTGGGGGGACAGGGCTGGGCTTGCCTGCATCTACTACATGGGTCAGTACAGGACCAAGAGTGTCCATTGGCTCGTATTCTCCATTCACAAATGCCCCCAGATTTGAGCTAATGGTCTGCGAGAGTACAGAAGTAGGTATAGAGATATACACCCAGGATTGAAAGATGTCTATCAAGTAACTTTCAATTTGTGTCCCATTAACAGAACCCAATAGTAATGGTTATATATAATGAATTTAGTGTTTTTTCATAAATCCTTTCTTTACCTTGTAACTAGTATAATTATATTGCCTTGTATTTTTGTGTTAAACACATATTTTATTAAATATGGGCACTTCAAGTGTTTACTTAACAATTAAGTCTATTTTAATCACCTGCTTTAACATTTCTTTTTCAGGGATGCCTGGGTGGCTCACTCAGTTAAGTGACCGACTTCAGCTCAGGTCATGATCTCACGGTTCATGGGTTCGAGCCCCGCGTCGGGCTCTGTGCTGACAGCTCAGAGCCTGGAGCCTGTTTCAGATTCTGTGTCTCCCTCTCTCTCTGCCCCTCCCCTGTTCATGCTCTGTCTCTCTCTGTCTCAAAAGTAAATAAACGTTAAAAAAAATTTTTTTTAAATAAATAAATAAATGTAATAAAAAAAAAAAAAAACCTTTTCTTTTTTAAGGCATTGCAAGCCTCAAAGACAGAAAACAACCCAAGCCTCTGTCACCATTGGAAAGTCTCCAGTTAAACACCATAGAACGCGGAGAAATTAGGGGCAAAATTTAGAAGAAAAATGAAGGACTCAAGAGATGAAATGTCAAGGCCCTTAGCTCTCACCTGATTAATTAGGGGGCGGGGCAGCAGGGTTGTGTGCATTGCACCTGCCCTGGGTGGTGTCATCTTGGGCTTCCAGGCACTCAGTGGCTCACAAGTGGAGAATGACTCTTGGAGTCTACTTTGTAGACCCAACCTGACAGTTCCAACTGATCTATGGGCCTCTCTCACGTCTTGCTTTTTATCTCTCATCTTAAAGAAAACAAATTGGAAGCAAAAAAAAAAAAAAAGGAACTATTGTTGGATGATAAGTCAGAAAGTTGCCATTTGCCTCCTAGAGCTAGTGGGCCTTAGTACATGTTCTGAATACAGTATAAAAATATCACGGGCAGCCAAATGTCCATTGATGGATGAATGGAGAAAGAAGATGTGGTACACACACACACACACACACACACACACAATGGAGTATTACTCGACAATAAAAAAGAATGAAATCTTGCCGTTGGCAACTACATGGATGGAACTAGAAGGTATTATGCTAAGCAAAATTAGAGAAAGACAAATATCATATGACTTCACTCGTATGAGGACTTTAAGACACAGAACAGATGAACACAATGGAAGGGAAGCAAAAATAATATAAAACCAGGGAGGGGGACAAAACAGAAGAGACTCTTAAATATGGAGAACAAACAGAGGGTTACTGGAGGCGTTGTGGGAGGGGGGGTGGGCTCAATGGGTAAGGGGCATTAAGGAATCTACTCCTGAAATCATTGTTGCACTATATGCTAACTAACTTGGATGTAAATTTAAAAAATAAAATAAAATAAATAAAAATAAAAAAATATATCACAGGCAGCAATTAATGAATAATCATGAAATCCCCAGAGTAGAATCAATCAGGTTTTTCCGGAAGCCTCGAGAGGGCTTATATTTATCTTTGTGGTTTTTTCAAATACAAGCTGATTAAAATGAGGTATCTTATTTTTCTAATTAAATTACAGTTTAAAAATTATTAATGTGACCTTTGTGAACACAAGCTCTAAATTATTCCCGGGAAAAATATGCCTTCTCTAAAATCAAATGTTTCAATAATCATCGACTCACTAGACCATAAGCTCATTTATGGAAAACTCATTTATAAGGATAACATTCCAACTAGCACTACAATCAAGGAGATGAATAATTGAGAGATAAATACATTTTATCACAAGCAAGTAGTAGTAGATGATCTTTGTTGAAATTATGCAATTTGTATTAATTTTCTTTGACCAAAATTTACAAAAAATTAAGAGAAGCTTTTTTGAGATATGTTCATAGAATGTTAAAAATAACACCAATTGCATATTTATATTACCCATTAAAGCATTTGTCATTTTTACAGGGGTTTTAACTGTCAAAATCAAAACAATTTCATGTATTATTGGATATCCAGTCTGTTCAATGGGATATGGATAGGATACAGTGACAAATCTCTTTTTGTACCTTAGAATTTCTGAAAAATTAAATGCTTTTTAAACCTGAATTGTGTATTTAATTTTTTAGCGTTTATTTCTTTTTGAGAGAGAGAGAGAGTGAGAACAGGGGAGGGGCAGAGAGAGAGGGAGACACAGAAACGGAAGCAGGCTCCAGGTTCCGAGCTGTCAGCACAGAGCCCGACATGGGGCTCGAACTCACAAACTGCGAGATCATGACCTGAGTTGAAGTTGGATGCTTAACCAACAGAGCCACCCAGGTGTCCCTTGAATTGTGTAGTTAAAGGATAAAAATATTTAGCTCACAGGTACCCAGAGAGCAGTTGCTTGGCACATAGTGCGAAACAGTGGTCAAAGACATGCCTCCCAGGGTGCACTGGGCAGGAGTTGTAGGGCCTCTGCAGGGTGGGGTAGTTTTCTTCACAGGTGCACGCATGGGTGGGTGCATGCGCGCGTGAGTGGGGGTGGCCGCACGATGGCACCGTCCAGTGGAGGGGTAAGAAAGGTTACTCTCAACAACTACGTTAGGCATCTGCCTATAGGACCTGTTGCCTCTTTAACAAATTACCCCAGACATAGCAACTTAAAACAGTAAAATATTTATTATCCACCAGTTTCTGAGAGCCAGCGATGTAGGAGTGGCTTAGCTGGGTGGTTCTGGCTCAAGATCCCTCCTGAGGTTGCAGTCAAGATGTCAGCTGGGGCTGCAGTCATCTGAAGGTGTGCCTAGGGCTGAAGGATCTGCCCCCCTAGGTGGCTCTCACTCGTGGCTGCTGGTAGGACATACCTCAGTTCCTCACACATGGACCTCATCATTGGACTCTGTATCTGTGCTGGTGACGTGGCAGCTGGCTCCCCGAAGAGGACAGGATCAGAGAGAGTAATCAGGAAGCTGTGATGCCCTTTAATAACCTAATCACCATAGTCACACCACCATTTCTGCATCCTTCTATTTATTAGAAGCAAGTCTCTATGTCCAGCCCATTGTCAAGGGAGGAGAATTAGGTTCCGTCTTTGGAATGGCAGGGACCAAGAACTTGACATTGTATTTATTTATTTATGTTTAAGTTTATTTATTTGTTTTGAGAGAGACAGAGACGGTGTGAATGGGGGAGGGGGCAGAGTTAGAGGGAGAGAGAGAGAATCCCAAGCAGGCTCCGCACCATCAGCATAGAGTCCGGGATGGGCCTCGGGCTCTTGAAACTGTGAGATTATGACCTGAGCTGAAACTGAGAATCAGCCACTTAACCAACTGAGCCACCCAGGTGCCCCTGAACTTGACATTTTAAATCAGCACAGTGCAGCAAGTCCAAGGATCAGATGATTCAGCCACCTTACCCTCACATTCCAGAGCTTTCTCCCATCTGTACCTTTCTGGGTGTTTGTGGTATATTCCCAGCGCTAACGTTTAATACATACATCCTGATGCCACACAGCTAAAATAAGTTGAGGAATCAGTTTGTGATGAAAATGCTGTATAGACAATCCTGTTTTTTTCCAGAAGGTGCAATCTAACACATCAGAACACTGTCAACTATGAGCCTGTTTGGATGGCAGCCCAGTTCATTCTGGGAACTTCTCCAGCATTATTTTGTCCTATCAACATAACCAGTTGTTTTTGGAGGCATGTCCTCAGCCTAAACTTGTCCTAAGTTGGGGCCACAGAAGTGTTTGCTGTGTCAAAGAGAGGAGGACACTGAGGAGGCCTGAAAATGACGTTTCTGGACAGTCACTCCAAAATGAACCACTTCACAACGATCTGCTGGAAGAACAAATACTTAAATGCATCAGTCATTAGACGCATTTATATTCAATGGGCTTAAATTTCACAGTACCTCTCAGTAGTGGTGGTGAACTTTGAGGGGATGGGGGGAAATGGTGAGAAGTGTACCCTCAGCTAATTGTGTGGAAAGACTGGACTTGAAGCAGCTCCATTCAGCCTACTCCACGTTGGTGCTGTTTCCAAGCCAGCGCAAAGCATGGTAAAGAGAAGACACCTGATCAACGCTGACTGCACGAACAAACCAGCTGGCTCGGGGGGAAGCATCACCCCCTGGTCATGGAGAACTTGCCATTCCTGCCTGGCACCGGATCTTCTCTCTTTCCCCGACCACCCGACCGGCATGTACCCTCTCCCTCCAGGCCTCCGCGCGAGAGTTTACACAGAGTGGGTGACGATCCCAGGCAGCCAGAGGAGTCTGGAAGGTCTGCTTCCAAAACTCCCATTCCCTCACCATACAGAAACAGAGTGGATGCACGCACACCCAAATAAAATGGTGACTTCTTTCACTTGCAGAATTCTGCCAGACAGGACTCTTTTAAAACCGGCTTTTCCCCGGTCACATCACATTGATAATTAACGTTCATAATAATGACCTTGAAGGTCTGTCAGACGCTGAGGAACCTAATGAATAATTAAGAGAATGAAATGGTTTTCAAGAGGATTTCATGCTTCGTGCATTTTGCATTCCAAGACTTTTAGATGGTCACGGTTGATTGTCTAATTCCCCAGTCACACAAGGGAACAAGAGGATTTACTGTGTTTCAATGGTTCTGCCGTGATAAGTTATTTGGGAGTATATCACCCCAAACCTGAGGCATGTTACAAATCGTCGGCCAGCTCTAGCATAGCCATGTGAGCTGCAGCCACAGGGAGGTGTTGGATTGGACCCACTCGCAAGCCATTGTTTTCCTTCTAGATTAAAAAAAAAAAAAAAAAAATTGTTGGAGGGGCACCTGGCTGGCACAGTTAAGCATCCTACTCTTGATCTCGGCTCAGGTCATGATCTCACAGTTCGTGACTTCAAGCCCCGCATCGGGCTCTGCGCTGATGGAGTGAATGAAGCCTGCTTGGGAGTCTGTCCCTCCTTCCTCTCCCACTTATGCGCATGCGTGTGTGTTCTCTCCTCTCTCTCTGTCTCTCTGTCTCCCTCTCTCTCTCTCTGAAATAAATAAATAAACTTAAAAATTTTTTGGAATTAAGGATAATTATCAATAAAATCATATACCAAAATACTGTTCTTGTAATTAAGGAACCATCTGTTGCCCTTATCCATTTTTAACATGTTTAAAGAATCTGATACAGGATTGATATAAAAAAAAATTAGCTGGAAAAATTAAACTACTCCAGGTGGCCCCTCATATCCCAGTGAAGCCTTACTCTTTTCTCTTGCTGCTCCTGATATCTGCAGATACATTGCCCTATTTGGAGAGAATTCAAAATCACAAAAATTTACTGTGGAAAAAAAAAAAAATCAAGTCCGACCCTCATCTTTGGCCGTTGAAAACAAAGATCCCAAAGGTGCTCTGACTTGCCCCAAATTACATAGCAAGTCATCGAGGCCCAGGAAGAACCCACATTTCTCAATTCCTGAGGAAAGATCAGAGCCACATCAAAGCCAGCGGCTACTAATGTGAACGCTCAGCTACCACAGCCAAAGACACCAAAAAAGCACCGGGAAATGGTACTTCAATCAGCGCTTTTGACCACTAAGACTGAAGTCCCAGGGTGCCTGGGTGGCTCAGTTGGCTAAGTGTCTGACTCCCGATTTCGGCTCAGGTCATGACCTCGCGGTTCGTTGAGTCTGAGCCCTGTGCCTGCCCACTACGCACTGTCAGTGTGGAGCCTGCTTGGGATCCTCTCTCTGTCCCTCTCTCTGCCCCTCTTCGGCTCTCTCTTACTCTCAAAATAAATAAACATTTAAAAAGAAAGATTGAACTCAGGTGTGATCTATTTTAAATATCTCAAATCTAAAGGATCTAAGTAGTTTTAAGCAGAAAATTAGAGCACACGTGGTATTTCTCATCTTTAGAGTCTCTGAGCCTCAGAGTCATGCACTTTAGTAATCTGCATCTTTTCAGGCTCTGGTTCATCTTCAGAATGGAGGCCACGACCAGAAGAGAGCGTGGGCAGCTGGAGCTAATTCTGCAGAGCTATGCCAAGTGTGGGAAAAGGGATTACTTGGTGCAATCATTAGATCCTTACCACACACATACACACAGCTGAAGCATCGAGAATAAACTGTATTCATGCCACTTTATTCCTAAAGATTTCAACATGCATCTCCTAAGAATAAGGACATTCTTCGTGTTGGTGAGAAATGATATTTAGAAACCAAGATCTCCAGGGCCACCTGGGTGGCTCGGTTGGTTAAGCGTCTTTCACTCAGGTCATGATCTCCCGGTTCGTGGGTTCCAGCCCCGCATCAGGCTCTGCACTGTCAGCTTGGGATCCTCTGTCTCCCTCTCTCTCTCCTGCTCACATGCTCTCTCTCTCTCTCTCGAAAATACATAAACCATTAAAAAAAAAAAAAAAGAAACCAAGATCTGGGGGCAAGATGTGTTCACTGACACTAGGGTATTATTACATCTTGGCCTTTTCAGTGGACAGATCTAGGAAAGACATACACTTTTGAAGGTGAGTTCATGTGGATATTCTCAATTCAAATTTAAACTTACAGTGTTTTATGTTAACTTCTTTGATTTAATATTTGCTTTGCGTCTTTTTTCTTACACTGAAAGTCTTGGTGGGTATAATATTTATTTCCCCCTAATTCAGAGTTATATGTTTTCTCCTAGTTCAGAATTGTCATACTATAACAACAAATTTTTTTAATTTAAATTTTCGTTAGTTAATATACACTGCAATATTGGTTTCAGGAGAATTCAGTGATTCATCACTTACATTCAACACCTAGTGCTCATCACAACAAGTGCCCTCCGCAATACCCAGCACCCACCTAGCCCATCTCCCACCCACCTCCTTCTACCAAGCCTCAGTTTGTTCTGTATCATTAAGAGTTTCTTGCGGTTTGTTTCCCTTCTCTTCCCCACTTCCAATGTGTTCATCCATTTTGTTTCTTAAATTCCACATATGAGTAAAATCACATGGTATTTGTCTTTCTCTGATTGACTTACTTTGCTTGACATAATACATTCTAGCTCCATCCATGGCATTACATCTTTTTGATGGCTGAGTAATATTCCATTGTATATATATCTTCTTTATCCATTCATCAGTCAGTGGACCTTTGGGCTCCTTCCACAGTTTGGCTTTTGTTGATAATGCTGCTATAAACATTGGGGTACATGTCCCCTTTCAAATCTGTATTTTTGTATCCTTTGGGTAAACACCTAGTGGTGCAATTGCTGGGCTGGAGGGTAGTTCTATTTTTGGTTTCTTGAGGAGCCTCCATATTGTTCTCCAGAGTGGCTGCACCAGTTTTAATTCCCACCAACAGCGCAGGAAGCTTTCTCCAAATCCTCACCAACACCTGTTGTTTCTTATGTTATTAATTTTAGCCTTTTTTTTTTAATTTTTTTTTTCAATGTTTATTTATTTTTGGGACAGAGAGAGACAGAGCATGAACGGGGGAGGGGCAGAGAGAGAGGGAGACACAGAATCGGAAACAGGCTCCAGGCTCTGAGCCATCAGCCCAGAGCCCGACGCGGGGCTCGAACTCACGGACCACGAGATCGTGACCTGGCTGAAGTCGGACGCTTAACCGACTGCGCCACCCAGGCGCCCCAATTTTAGCCTTTTTAACAACAAATTTCTGACTGAAGTTTAAGATCTGTTTCTAGTCACCTATCTTGGGATCATATCCCACAAAGGGTGTATAATCAGAGCACCGAAGTGATTCTGTTCTTTGTGTAGCTATGTTGCCACATTGAAAATAAAGTTAGGTTCATTTGTTCCAATTTGTGTTCCGGTTTAGGAATGTATTCTAGTCTTTCTTATTCCAAAAATTTTTAAGTCTATTTATTTATTTTTGAGAGAGGGGGGAGAGAGAGAAAGAGAGAGAGAGAGAGAGAGAGAGCAAGGCCAGAGAGAGAGGGAGAGAGTCCC